TGTTGTGTCTCTGAAGAGCTGAAGTTCTTCACCATCAAGTCGAGAAACTGCATTTAAAGATTAAATTAAATTAAATTATTTGAGGATGAAATGCCCATCTAAGATTTAAATGATACGGTAAACTCCATACAAGTGAGAAATTTGGACACACATGATAGAATTTGATATAAATGATAGAAACGCCTGCTCAAAATTAGTTTAAAAGACAATTATAAGTGTGCATATGCATTAAGATCTTTACAATTTACAAATATATATATAAAAACTTGTATAGAAAATAAGTAGAATATACATATTCATAAAAGCATATATATGAATCAATTAAAAAAATGTAAATAAATATATATTTTAATCACAAAGTTTTTTTATGTCATATATATATACACACATATATACACACATACACTAAATTGTAAAATTGTACCCTAACCCTAACCAACATACTTATAATTGTCTTTCATGCTAAATTATCATGTTCCTCCGTCAATAATGTGCAAAGCATCCCAGAATGCACTTTATGAAGTTGGTTGATTAACGTCTGGAGTGAAATCACAAAATCATTCCCATATTTAGACCAGGACATCCGCTTTTAAAAGGCAGTGACGCCAGTTATGAAACATAGTAATTAGTTACTTAAGTCTGAGTGAAGTGAGTGAGTTTTTACCTGAGTTTATCAGAAGCCCTTGAGCACAAAACGTCTGATGTTTTCGGATCTTTACTAATTGATTCCTATGTCTTTATTTATCCCTGTATTGCTCTTTACGCTCTTTTTGTAAGTCCAAATAAATCCATAAATCAGTGAATACGTCTCTGTATTCACTCTGTTCCACAGGTGTTGAGCAGTTCTTTGGTCATGTTGTGTGCTGGTTGGTAGGTTTTAAACGGTGAGTATCGACAGACCCATGGCAGCAGGTGTAAGGCGTGTCATTGGTGGAAAGTCCGGTGGGTCACAGCTGTAGATGCACGCATTAGCTCGCCCTTTGGTGACGCCAATGTTGCTCTGTCCTGAAAGAGGAAGGGGGTTGTGAAGTTAGCAGTAGATCCCTCTGATGGAGGGCTATTTGTGCAAGTCTAATCCTATAAAGACTCACTTTGGTGGAAGGATTTCAGGGGCGTTTATTTAATAAAGTACACTCTTAAAAATAAAGGTGCTTCAAAAGGTTCTT